ATTCATTAAGAACAACTATTTCATTCAAGTGTGAATAAAATGTGAGATAGGATAGGTATTGAGACACAAAGTTCATTATTTTTGTCTCACAGTGAGAAGTATTGTTGCCCTCTGCCACCAAAGGCCCAGCAGCATTATAAGATCTATTGAGTCGTATTCTCTGGAGTTGATCCCAGAAAACGGTGTTTTACCAAATTTTCCCTGTGATTCTTATTTCAATTAAGTTTAGAAGTATTGTTACAGTGAACTCTTTGCAAAGCATTATAAGCCATAACAATGAACTCAAACAAACCAAAAATCATGAACATAGCACAGGCCTGGGCAAAAGTTTTCTTCTGTTACACATAAAGTCACCATGAGTTGAAATTAATTCGATGGAAACTAACAACTTCATGGATGATAGTATGTTTCAATTTGTTGCTGTGGCTATTGTGTCAATACACCTCATTGAGGGTTTTCCTGGTTTTCATTGTTCTTGTGCTTTAACAAACATGATGTCCTCTTCTAGGAATTGGTTTTACCAGGTAATGTGTCCAAAGTAAATCAAAGTTTCACCATCCTTGCTTCTAAGAAGCATTCTTATTGCATTCCTTTTAAGACTCGTTCTTTGTTTAAGCATGTTTAGATATATTCTTTACCAATACCACAGCTCAAACACATCAGTGATTCTGTCTGTTTTTTGTTTTGGTTTGGTTTTCCGCCATTATCCAAGTCTCACATGCATACATGGAGTTTCTATATTATTTCTTGACATGTAATGATGCTTTAGAAAATTCATTTTATCATTATTTCTATTATCCTTTTTTTTCTAACACTACAAACACAAGCAAGGGAAATAAGATACTTGGTATATTAGAAACATCTAGTTTGCAACTAACAGACACCAACTCTTGCTGGATTACATAGAAAAGAACTTTCTAAGAAAACAGAGATTTCTAATGTAATTCAAGACTAGAAATTAGGCAAGAATTAGAAATGTACTAAAATCAAAGTGGGCAGAGTATCCAGCATTCCTATAAGTCTTTCACCTTATTTCCTCTCTGTAATTGCTTTTACTCTCTGCTAACTTACTTCTTTGCTTCTCCAGAGCATAGTTCTCAGGCTTCTGGGTTATTTGGCCATTCACCTAAAGATATATTCAATCTCTGTGTTGGATATAATTTCAGATTTCTAAAGAAGGATTCTGGTTACCTTGAGCCCATCAGAATAACCAGGGATATAAGGTCATGTTGACTTGTGTTGCTTGAGAAGAGAGTATAATTGTGAGATCGGGAGATCACTTCAATTCTTCCAAATTGTTTTAATATGAAGAATACAATATTAGGTGTGTTTTGTTGTTGTTGTTGTTTTATGAAAACAGAAATTTGATAGAAGGAAATGTAAATGTTTTCAAATCCATCTGTAAACGGAACCAGAAGAAAGAGATGTTTCTTGATGGAGATAGTTACAATCATTCGTAATGTGTTTAGAATTTTTTATGCTTAAAAATTCTTCCCAGCCAACACAGAATCAATTCTTTTTAACTTTCATAATTTATTTTTGTTTTTAGCTAATTATCTAGTCAGAGATTTAGTTGCAGAAATACTCCATTTTTGTACAAATGACCGGTTGTTACCTGAAGATCATCTTCTATGTATATGTGGCTCTGAAGAATTTTTACAGAAGTAAGTATCTCATTAACGTAATTTCTTCCAATCATTATTTACCTGCATGTTTTAAGCAGTACCATTTGTTTTATTTTGTTTTCTGTTAAACAAGTTTTATGTAAAAGTATATTCTTATATCAGCAATGATATCCTTCATTCCATGGCCTCTTCTGAATCCAGCTTGAACCTCTGGAAGTTCTCTGTCAATGTACGATTGTAGCCATTTCTGTATTACCTTTAACAAAACTTTATTCACATGGGATATCAAAGAGATTGTCCTATGACTTCCACATTCCATTGGGTCACCTCTCTTTGGAATAGACACAAATATAGATCTCTTCTAACTAGTCGACCAGATAGTTGTCTTCCAAATTTCTTGGCAGAGATGAGTGAGTGCCTCCTGTGCTGCCTCACTTTCTTGAAAGATTTCGAGATATATCATTGCTGATTTCCAGTGGATCTTGGCGGAAAGCAGAGAATATCAGAAAGATGTTTACCTGTGCTTTCTTGACTATGCAAAGGCTTTTGATTGTGTGGATCATTACAAGTTATAGACAACATTGTGATGTATGAGTATTCCAGAACACTTCATTGTGCTCATGAGGAATCTGTACCTGGACCAAGAGGCAGTTGTTTGAACAGAACGTGTGAACACTGAATGTTTTAAAATTTAAAAAGGTATGTGACAAGGTTGTATTCTTTCACCATATTTATTCAACCTCTATACTGAGCTGGTAGCGTAGTGGTTACGAATCGGGCTGCGAACCTTAAGGTCAGCAGTTCGAAACTACCAGCCGCTCC